ATATATATACAGTTATATATATATATTGTATTGCATTTGATAAAATATTTGATTCGATTTATAACATCATGTTCATATATATACATATATTATATATATTATTTTATATTATATATTATATATAATATATAATATAATATATAATATATTATATTATATATTATATTTATGTATATATATACATATATATACGAATCCGAAAGTAGGCCTACATCTTCGTCGTCGTCACATCACCATCGTTATCCGTTTCCATCATCATCGTCATTACCATCAGCATCACCATCATCACGATCGTCGTCGTCGTCGTTGTTGGTGTCTTTTCCACCACATCACCATCATTACCGTCATCCGTGCCATCGGACTATCATTATCAGCAGGATTGCCGTAGATCATCTGCAAAATCTGTCTTGTGTTTGAGTATTTGTATATATTATTTCTAATACATTTTATAAAGATAGCAAATGCATGTATTCTATTCATACTGTTGTATAATATGGCAAATCAAATTAACTCCGGAATTTATTATTTAAACTTCGATCGTCGTCGAGCCAGATATCACCCAGATAACCTCAAATGTTCCCACTTCATGCACGAACAGAGCATTATCAATGTAGTCTTGTGACATGACCTTCCGATTATTGCTCATGAAATGCCAAAATATATTTCTTTTATCAATAAAACATTTGTACTGTATTACATTATAGTCATAAAAAAATTTCATACATGACTTTATTAAATATAAAATGCGGAATGTGAATGTACATCCATGGTACACCTAACCAAGAATTGGACCCACCCATACTGGAAATTCCATAATGATAAGTAACGTGTGGAAATTCCAAATTCGTTACGTCGATACAACTTTAAATGATTTGCAGATAGACTGATAGTTGTATCTACGTTGAGGTGATTAGACATTTACACCAAATAACGCCAGTTAATCGAAGGTAACCAAACATTTAATCATTTAATCAATCATCCAGTCAATCAATCTACCAAAAACCAGTGAATAAATCAATCAAAATTATCAGTCAATTATAAATCAACTTAGTTTAGTTGATATTTTTACAGGTAATAAAAATATAATTATTTGTTTTGTTTCAGGAATAGTACGTACTTCATTATGGGAGTAAGAGGACTTACAGGATTTATCAACAAGAACAACATATTTAGCCAATATGAACTTTCTAACGGAACAGTAATAGTCGATGGTTACAACTTTCTATATTCTTTGTACTTCGACGAAGAAATAGACGTTAAACATGGTGGGGAATACTCTGATTTCTACAAGATTTTTAACGACTTTATTAGCGTTCTTGACACATGCAAAGTGAAGCCAATATTCATCTTCGACGGTGGTCATGTTGATGAAAGAAAGTTTCCAACTATCAAAGAACGTTTTGAGAAGAATTTGAAGAGGTCCCTTCGAATAGGCCAAGGCGCAGATGATGACCGTTGTATTCTTCCATTATTTTGCAGTCATACTATGATAAAATTATTTAATGATCTCAACGTTTGTGCAGTTTGGTGCGACTTTGAGTCAGACCCAGAAATCGCAAAGATCGCAAATGAATACAGGTGCCCAGTGCTTTCGGCAGACAGTGATTTCTACATTATGGATCTTCCAAATGGATTCATTAACACCAGCGACTTTCAGTGGAAGACAGCTACCAGGCGTGGAATCAAATGTAAAATTTATTACCGTAGTGAGTTTTGTAGAAGAATGGACATATTAAAAGAATGTGTTCCATTGGTGGCAGCATTTGCTGGGAATGACTTTAATGAATGTCAAATGAGAATTGGAAACGCAATTACTTTCTTGAAGGGAAAGACGTCGGCAGACACGGCTGTCAACCAGGCCCTAAAGCGTGTGAATCGGGACGTAAAAGATCGCATGAAGAGAGAAATCATGTCTTCTTTATCAACGTACGATATACCGGAAACTTCGTCAACCCTTGCCTACCTAAAGAATCCTAATGCAGAGATGCCAGAGAGTGCTCTATACTCCAATTTCCCTCCCTGGTTTATTGCGCTGTATCGAAAAGGTGGCGTGAACAAAGATTCCGTTGATGTTGTACTCTATCAGCAGCGATTTCTAAATCACTACGTGGAAGATGAGACAGATTCCTGTGCCGATAATGCGTCGCTGAGCTTACGCAAATGGCAATATGGAATTCTTGCGAAAGAGAGCAGCATAAAGGAGTATTTCAGGGAAGCCGATAAACTTACGCATAAGATGGTAACACCAAACAAAACATCAGTAGAAGGCCTATGTGTTCCAAATCTAGAAGACATGCAGAAACTAAGTCTGGAGGAACGCGAGGATTGGTTTTTCAATTTTCTTGAAACCAAAAAAGGTGAATATGAGAATATGCCGGCTGAGTTCCACCTCCCCATTGCAGCATTCAAATTCTGGTTGAAGCACTGTAAGCCAGAGAGAGAATACGCGTTCGCTTTGCTGTCAAGCTGGATCGTGGCAGTTAACGGTAGGAAAGAGCGGGGAGCTGAGGGTATGGCGACCTATAAGAACCCATACTTTAACCTACGCGCCAGTCATGCGTTTTCACAATGGCAGAGTATACTGAAACATACGATCTATTTAAACCAACTCTTGATGTCACCAATCTTCGAATGTGATGTCACTGTACTCTACAGCGGCCGCATGATTTTTAGTCATCTGGAGAAAGGAAAGAAAGAAATAAAGGCATATTTACAGGAAAACGTGCCGGCATTCTCGGAATCTGCAAAGGCCTTGTATGACGTCCTGAAAAATCTCATTGAGTAAATTTTTTGTAATATTTGTTTGTTTGTCATTTGGTATTCATGTAGCACTTTCCTTTAGGGTATGAAACGGTTGTTTTTCTTGATTGTTGGGTCCATCATGCTTAAGTGGTACTTGATTTTTAACACTGAATTTCTGACACTAGGCCTATACGTAAAGAAAATAAGTGAGCGAGATAACGTGCAACATGCAACAAGTTTTTTTTTTAGTGGCCATATTGTTCTTTTTATTATTGACTCTGTTTACAAAAACTATTACATTGAAATGATTAGAACAATGGCATGATAGTTTGTATATTACGCCGGATATGGCAAGACTAGACGTTTCAATAATTACATTTTGCTACATATATTCCTACTTTTTGAAGTTTTTAAGAATTAACTGACTCCGCTTACATTTAATGTTACAATGGAATGTTTAGAATAATGGTATGATATAGTTTTTTTTAATTGAAAGAATAAGTATATAATAGGCCTAATTGAGTACGTCGGATATGGCAAGACTAGACGTTCCAATACATAAAATTAATCAAAAACTATTTAGTCATATCGCATACGACGAATTATAGTAGCAACTTCTATCAGAATAATTACCTTAGATCTTTACACTTAGAATTGAGAAACACCACTGTAGTCATTTCCCAAATTATTAAAAAGATTGACCATGTATTCATTTTACAAACTATTATATGAATATTATTTTTATTTATTTCATTGTAAATTACACAAGCATCCAAGCAAACCGGAACTGTATTAAAGATACACCTTACGTAATAACATTCAAAACGACATTAAAAAGTCGAAGCTAAATTTGTATCAATCAAACTGAAAGTGAACTTAGCAAAACCCAAAAAGCTTTGGAAACAACTATTCCAAAAAATCTAACGAACTTTTAAGTTACTTTGAACGGCAGTATTTGTCATTCAGAATTTTCAATATTTTTTTTCTTTTTATACCAATGCAGCCTCTGCTCTAATACTAGTAGGGAGATTTCGCAAAACGATAACGAATATCGAATAGGCCTATGTCATTATCATTACTGTATTACCATTCGTGGCTCAAACATTCTTAACAATCAAGCTAAATATGATGCTTGATTCATGCGAAAGGCATGAATTGACCTTTCCGCTAAGCTCCGCCCCTTGGATATTGTTGCTTAGATCCCACAAAGACAGCAGTGTTAAAACCATGGTTAAACCATACGCGAACACGCGAACACGTGCGTTTGTGGGACAACACATGTGTTTGTAAGACGCGCGCGCATTCCTAGCGCTGTTCTGATTAGTCAGTTGTTAAGTTTGATTGACACTCTGGAAAGGTCTATTGCAAACGTTGTGACACTAATATGCATCATGCACTGTAGGGGAAGGGTTGTTTAAACATTTTGATGACGTAACCGTATTCGTTATTCGTAAGGACTCCCTAAAAGCGCTTCGCAAACGAAAAAGGAATGAGGAAAGAAGAAGCGATGATTAGTCTTTTGGACGACAAATTATTAAAGTTATATTTGTAAATATATGTTTTTGGCTTAAATTAGAGTTTTCTCTTTTTCGCTTCATGCACTTTCACTTTAGTGATGGAGAACTTTTTGTAATCTAAGTGAGGCTTTTAACAACATTGCTTATTATTTGACTCCTCCCAATACAGTGGTTATGTGCGTCCACTTTTTGCTAGTTTGTCCTTTTACCCTGTCTCTTATACACATCTAGATGTGTATAAGAGACAGGAATTA